CAAAAAAAAAAAAAAAAAAATAGGGCCGGGCGTGGTGGCTCACGCCTATAATCCCAGTACTTTGGAAGGCCAAGGCAGGAAGACTGTCTGAGCCCATGGGTTTGAGACCAGCATGGACAACTTGGCGAGACCTCCTCTCTACAGTAAATCAACGATTAGCCAGGCATGGTGGCGCGTGCCTGTAGTTTCGGCTATTTGGAAGTCTGAGGTGGAAGACCTCACTGGAGGCCAGCCGGTGGAGGCTGCGGTGGCCGTGAGCGTGACAGTGCACTCCAGCCTGGGTGATGGAATGAGACTCCAACTCAAAAAAAAAACCTAACCAAAAAACAAAACCAACATAAATAGAGCCAGGCGTGGTGGCTCACATCTTTAATCCCAGCACTTTGGGAGGCTGAGGCAAGAGGATTGCCTGAGCCCACAGGTTCGACACCAGCCTGAGCAACATGGCAAGACGTCGTCTCTACGATAAATAAAAAAATTGGTCAGGCATGGGAACTTGTGTCTGTAGTTCCAGCTACTTGGGAGGCTGAGGCGGAAGGATCGGCTGAACCCCACAGGTCAACGCTGGGTGGCTGTGAGTGTGCCCTTGCGCTCCAGCTTCGGTGACAGAGACCCCAACTCAAAAAAAAAAAAAGAAAATACAGGGGCAACCCCCTCGGGTCCCCTCCCACTGTGGGAGCTTTTCTGTCCTCTCAAGAAATCCTGGTTTCTCACTTAAAGCAAATACATTTTTTAAAAAACACATAGAGCCAGGCGTGGTGGCTGATGTCTTTAATTCCAGCACTTCGGTAGGCTGAGGTGAGAGGATTGCTTGAGTCCAGGGGTTCGAGACCAGCCTGGGTAACGTGGCAAAACCTCGTCTCTACAAACATCGAAAAATCAGCTGGGCATGGTAGCAATGCCTGTAGTTCCAGCTACTGGGGAGGCTGAGATGGAAGGATCGCCTGAACCCCGCGGTCGAGGCTGCGGTGGCTGTGAGCGTGGCCCTGCACTCCAGTCTGGACGAGGGAGTGAGATTCCAACTCAGAGATTAAACCAAAGCAATAACCAAGCAAACACACAGCCAGAGCCCGCTGCGGGCCACCGAGGCGGAGTCGCGCTCCCCCCACCCAGCACCGCCTCCCACAGAGCCGGCTGGTCCGGCCCAGGCGGAGCAAAGCCCCCCGCTGTCTCTCCACTGCTCGAGCCGGCGAGGGGCTTCGTGCCCCAGACCCCGCCGGTCCCCCGGCCCTGCAGGCAGTCCCCACCGACGGCTCCAACTGCAGAGGGCAGCTTGGGGAAGGGAGGCCG